AATAGATTAATTGTTATCTTATTAATATGTTTATTGTTTGATTGAAAGGTCTTAAATGAATTACTAAAAAAAAAAAAAAGAAGTCATAAGACAATTTTTTTTTTAAAAAAAAAGCTGTAAGACAATTTTTTTTTAAAAAAAAATTAAATTTTGCTTATAAGTTATATCAAATATGATCTGTAAGTTTTTTTTATTATTAATTAAGATTTAATTTAATACTTAGTTTAAACTTTTTTTGAATTTTTAGATTTCAATACAAGAAAATATTGTAGACCTATCTAATGAATTATCTAATAAATATGTTGTTTCATTTTTATCTAGAAATCTTGTAGCTGATGAATTTTTGAAAGAGTTTAATGAAGCTGAGAATCTTGTAAATATAGATGATATATCTACAGAGCTAGAACAAACAGTAATTAGTGAAAGAAGCAAAAAAAAAAGTATTAGAGGAAAAGGTCAAAATAAGGATGAAAAAAATAGTTTAAGTTCTAAGAAAAAAGCTGCAATTTTTGCGCAATTACTCAAACCACCTAGTTTTAATATTTTAGTTCACAATATGCCTTATTATAAAGGCTATTTAATATTACTAAAAATTTATTCAGGTTGCGATATTTCTTCTTATGGATTAATTAGCTTTTTTTTTTACAAAATATTCTTACAACTATCATATTAAATACAAATAAATATGCTCAAAAAAAATGCTAATGCAATGGGACAGGTATAGACACCACTAACATTAGATAAACTAAAATTTGGTTGGAAATAATTAAATTACCAAGAGTAACTGATTATTGAACTATTAATTCTAAATTTTCTAAACATTACATTATACAAGAAATGTCTGTAATTCATTTTCAACAAATTAAGCGATACTTACATATTTCAAATCCTAATTCTGAAAATTCTTATTGGTACAGTAAGGTTGAACCACTTGCTTCTCATATTAGAAATATTAGTAAGCAACTTTATGTGCCTGGGTCACAAGTATTAGTTGATAAAATGATGATATGTTTTTCAGATCAAAGTAGTCATACTTTTCATATAAAAAACAAATCTATTTCTAAAGGGTATAAGGTTATGTGAAAAAGGTTATATATACATATTTATTTTTAAATTTCATATTGTAAATAATAGTGAAATTACAATTATTCTTGGTTTTAATAAAACTGAATCGCTTATATTATATCTTGTTACTCAACTACCAAGAGGATATGTATATAATATATATATGGATAACTATTTTACAAGTATTTTACTTTTTTATTATTTAAGAACAAAAGGTTATAGAGCTTGTGGTATAGTACGAACAAATTCTTCAATGTTTTCTAAAATATTAAAATTTGAAAAATCTGTTTATTTAGATTGGAATATTTTATCTGGTGTTGTTGTAAATGATATTTTAGTAATGCTATGGGTAGATAATAGTCCTGTCTATATGCTTTCTACTATTCATAGTATTAAAAGTAATGAATAGAAAATTTTTACAATATATCACAAACTACAATCAACTAGTACAAATGCAGCAAATGTACAAAAAATTTTTGGTGAGCATCCTGAAAAGAAATCTTAATTTCAAAGATTATTAATGATTATAATTATTTTATAGGTAGTATTAATATAGCAAATCAATTTAGGTCATATTATAATTGTCAAATTACTTCTTTGCATAATTGGTCGCCATTTATATTTTGATTAATCAATAGAGCAATTGTAAATTCATATATTATTTATAAACAAAAAGGTAATTTAACTTAAATACTTTATTAAATTATCTATTTTAATTAAAAATTAATTACTTTTATTAACAAACTATTAAATTTATAGATGGAACTTTAAATCATAAAAAATTTTGCTTACAAATTACATAGGATTTTATTGAAGATATATTAAGTAAAAGACAAAAACTTAAAAATAAGCAAAGCTCTAAAGTAAAATTATATGAAAACTCAGCTCCAATTATTAATAAAACCTTTAAATTATCATCAACTCGGTTTTTTGGTATAAATCACTATCCTGAATAGCAAGAAAATTATGCTGCATGTGCCTAGTGCTAATGGAAAGTTAAATTCAAATCAATAAAAAAACACTCCTCAAAGCCAAATCTGGTGTACTCAATACAATATTGCACTTTGTTGTAACAAATCACATTCTTTATGTTTTAACAAATATCATACCTATATTAATAAAGAATATAATATATAAAATTAATTTTTAAAATTTTATTTTTTAAAAATTTAAAAAAACAGGATTTTTATTATATTTGATAACTTTAAATAAAGTATATTAAATTTTTTTTATTTTATTAATTTTATTATAAATTAAATAATATATATTTCGAAACTTAAAAAATAAATATATAAATAAATTTTAAAATTATATATAATAAAAAAATTTAAAATATTAAAATTTTTTATTTTTTTCTTTTTTTTATTATAAATTAACTAATTTTAAACTTATATAATTAATTTAAAATATGAATAATTTAAAAAATTTTAATTTAAAAAAAATTATTAAATCTAAATTAATAAATTTTATTAATTAATTAAAATAAAATTATATAATAAAAAAAAAATTTAGTAATATTATAACTTTTTGCAGACAAATTTGTTTGCAAACTTGTAACAAATAAAGAGATAGTAGTATTTAATTTTATATTATAAGAAAAAGTCTTAGTTACTTATAAGATAAAAATAGACCAATTTATAAAAATTTTTTAATAAAAAAAATTATTAACTTATTCTTGGTGAACTCT